CATCAGAAGCCACAGATGCATGTCACATGGCTTGTCTAAATGACAATGAGGATTTGTGCCGCTCCTTGGTGCACAGGGCTCGGACTCTGCTGAGAAAGGATAAGGAACAGTTCATTAGGAATCTTGCCGAGGAGAAAGAAGGCCATTTTATAGTAAATGACCTTCGTCCTGCCTACCAAGGCCAGAGAAAACTGAACTCCAATCCTTTCTCACGGACGTCTGCAGTCCCGTCAGTGGATGGACGGATCATGTTGGGGTTCGTGAATATTGGGCTGAGTATTTTGAGCAACTATCAGGCAGAACCCCCAGCAGTTAGTCTAAATCAAGGGATGTCACAGTTCCTGTTCCTGACTCAACCATCAATAAAGATCCCTTACCCTGAATGAGGTGAGGGAGTCGATCTCTAAGCTGAAGGGTGGGAAATCCGCAAGTATATGCGATTTCCTTGATGAACTGTTAAAGGCTGGGGGTGAGCCTATGGCACGGGACTTGCATGCTGTCCCGGCTGCCATCCGGCAGTCCGGTTCCATTCCCCTGACTTATTGAGGGGCGTGGTCATGCCTCTCTGGAAAGGGAGAGGATCGTTGGGATTGTAGCAACCACTGTGGCATCACATTGCTCAGTATACCAGGCAAGGTTTTCGCCCACATTCTTCTGAAACGGATCCGCAACCACCTGCTAAGGCAACAAAGACCGGAGCAATCTGGATTAACTCCTGGCAAGTCCACAATAGACCGTATACTAGCAGTTCGAACGTCGTTGTGAGTACGGTCGTGGCCCGCTAGCAGCCTACATCGACGTCAACAAGGCGTTTGAATCGGTGCATCGCATCGTTATGGGAGATCCAGAGACTTTGGGGAATTCCAACACGGATTTTTTGGATTAACAGCAAGCCTATATACTGGTACTGAAAGTGTTATAAAGTATGGTGGGGTCCTGTCGAGCTCCTTCCCTGTTAGCTCAGGAGTGAGGGAAGGCTGTGACACTTTTCAACACTTGCATGGACTAGATAATGGGCAGAGCTACTTTCCAAAGTCAGTGTGGAGCAACACTGGGCAGTATCAAGGGATTGGACCTTGACTTTGCCGACGATGTTGCAGTTCTTTCCGAGTCTTTAGAATCTCTGACGGCGGCTGTCATGGCATTTTGCAATGAGGCGAGGCCCCTGGACTGAGCCCAAGACACAGGATTTGGGGGGATTTTAGGAGAACCTGTCTGTTAAATTCACTCCCTTCCTGATTTAAGCCAAACATCTGTCCCCTTCCCTTTTTACCTCCTCTTCCTGAAAATCTGCCTCCTCCCCTCCTTCACTCCCTTATTCCCTTCCTTCCCTCTCCCCTCCCCCTTTTTTCTTTGAGCCCTCTCTCCCTTCCCCTTTCCCCAACCTTTTTTTTTCCTCTTGAAGTCTATTTCCCCTTCCCTATTCTCCTCGTCTCTCTGAGCACCCTGCTCTTACTTCCGTTTCTCCTTCCCCTCCTACCTTCCTTTTTAACATCCCCCTGGATAGTCATGTAAATAAATGTGCCTAAACTGGCAGTCTTACTGTTTCAATGCAGTGTACATATTATTATTGTATTTATGTTTATCATTACTGTTGTTGAACCTAGTATTATCAGTGATAGTACTTGTATTTTCATCTGTGTAACTATTGATTCGTTTTTATTGTTTCTCAATTGAATTTTGCTTTTCTCATTATTTCATTTAAAATTAGTTGCATTCAAAATGCAGATAATATTGTAAATGAATTTAAATATCATACAGGCCTAGTTGGTGATGGAAATGTTTTAATGTATACAAGAAACCTAAATTTGGTTTTACACATTGTCCCTTGTTGTTCAATAATGTTTAGATATCAAAGTCAGTCAATAACATAAAAAGAAAAAAAATCACCTGATGTGTTCTCTCTCTCTTCATATCTTCAAGGCAGATCTTTGCCAACATATTTTCCTTTCTTCCTTTTACATATTGTGTATAGTCATGCAATTTGCATATTATTTATTGAGTTTTTTCTGACACATCAACATCTAAGGTCATTAGCGCAACTCAAATATAGCGTTAGGATAAGGAATCTTTGGCTTATATGACCATGTTTGTGGATTCCTAGAATGGTTAATAGTCAAAACAAATAAATGCACCAAACATGAAAGGTCATACAGCACTAGGATAAAGTATTGTGACAAAAAGGTTAAAAATTAGTTAATGATTAGGAAAAACATGTTAGATATCAAAGGTTGTATGACGTATAGGTTGGTATGGTAGTGAAAAGGTTAAAGAGGGAAGAGCAAACAGGGTACAAAAGCCATTCAAGACTGACACGAAACTAGCCTTTCATCCTTTTAACATGACTCACACTTTTTGGATGTGGACAGAAAGGGATGAAGAAAAGGAAAATGAAAGTGTGAGGGAAAAAAGACCATGTAAAATTAATTGAGGCAAGGGATGAAGTCCCAGGTAGAGCTGATCCCCTACTCTGGGCCTCAGTCTGTCTCCTAAGCACCCT